CCTATCTATGGTCTTCAAAAAGTTGACGACTCTACATGTTTCGACGTTACAACGTCATCCTCAGGAGTGTAATGTCAAAACACGTAGAATCGTCAACTTTTTGAAGACCATAGATAGGCCTAAATAAAATGTTTCTAATTGTGTACTAGTTTAACGTTAAATATTATTTATGATTTTAACTTTATACACAAGTGCCAAAATACTATAATTATGGATTAGAGTAGCATGATAAATATTTACACACATTCAAAGTGCTATTCTATTAGTCTGAGCATGCTTGTTTGCTTTCAGAAGTACCTCACTATGGTCCTCAGAAACAGTAATGGCACAAGCAGTAAATCATTGCCTTAGGTTCAGCAACTTTCAAGGTGTGTCGCTAAAAGTTAAATAGAGGAAACAGATGTGAAAAGATCAAGTAGAAACTGTGAACACAAATACTTTGGAACTTCATGGTGAATACTAAGAGAACTGCACATTTTATTTTGTATTTTACAACCTCTGTTGTTTACTATAGCTTCATAATTTGTCTACAGCATAGAGATCCGAGTATAGTGTTCTGATACATCAGGTAAGAGATAAAATTTAAAGATTCACTGAAAGAAATATATATATTTAGTAGTTTCAGAGATTACACAAATGAAATTTATCAGTTTTCACATGAGAAAAAGTATTACTAATCATAAAATCAAGATCCATTTGCATTGAATAGTCAACATTCTGAGCACAAAAAGTCACAAGCAAAATCACAATCAAATCTTTAGTTAAAATACTTTATTAAAAAATATATTTTTTGTGTACAAAAGCTTTGTAATGTTTCTGATAGTCTGTGAAGATATGCACACATTATCCAAAGTTATAATACGACAAATTTCATGGTTACTTTATTGGTTACACGATATGCTACTTAGGCATAACTCCCATAACCATGTGGTTAGAGAGTTATGTCAGCAAAGTGTCCTATGAAGTGTAAGTCCTCAACATCTGCCTAATAATTGACCAGTAAACACTTTCATTCAGATTTTCTTGTTTATAGTTACAAATACACTTTTCTTCCACTGATGCTGTGGTTACTTGACCTACTCTTGGACCAAGAAGACTAACTTGCTGGTTTGACTTTTCTGAAAACACCAGCAGTGAAATGAACACTTGAAAGATTTTCAAGGCCTTGATTTAGAAACCATTTATAAGCACTTTCAAAGTTTAAGTAATATACAAACCCTAGATGATCCAACATGTCTTTAACATATAAAAGTGCTTCATCTGATTGAGCATATGATTTTGTGACTTAGTATCTGCTATGAGCAAATAATTTGCTGGGCAAGCTTCTCGTGATTGATATTACTAAAGAAAATAGGATCAAGCACTCTCTTGTTGCACCACATGATTTTGTGACTTAGTATCTGCTATGAGCAAATAATTTGCTGGGCAAGC